CAGTAGATCAATGTATGGAGGTAATCACTAAATTGGAGGACAAGCATGAAATAATGACACTCACTGACTCTTCATCTGACAGTATACAGTTTCTAATACCAACTATACTGGAAGGAAGAACAATCAAGCGACTTGTTGTACTCTCTGCATTCTTAACACATGATGATATCCTCTCATTTATATTTCAACTATCAACCAACAAATCTTTAACAATGCTACAAATATCTAATGATTCAATCAGTGATGATGGAGTCGTTGCATTGGCACAATCACTGCAATATAATGAAACACTTGAATATTTACAACTTCAATACAATCGTGGCATCACCTCAGCCTGTGCTCAGTCAATTGCTAAACTTTTAAATAGTAACAAGACACTTACCTACCTTAATCTGTATGATACTAACATTGATAGTCATGGAGCAGTGATACTGTCAGAATCACTTCAGACCAATAATACACTAAATTTACTCTGGCTAGACAGACAACATAAAGATACTTGTTCTGCTTTACCTTATTTTGAGCAAATTAAAAACAGATTAAATTTTTGGTAGACAATAGAATTTTAGTGTTATGCAAATTTTAACTCAAAAAAGCTAGACTATAGACCTCTTCAGGTGAGAGCGACGGTGGCCTATGAATATCATTACTGTTCATTACGGTATCCACCTACGGTGATAATTGGCCGCCATTTTGGACGGCAAGATTCAATGGAGGATGAATGAAGAAAAGGCAAAACTGATTTTTTTTCGTTGGCATGGAGCTTTTTCAAGCTACAAAAGCTGGTTGGAGGAAAGAATGGTCGCTACTAAGCATCTCCTAAAAGGGATTTGGTGCAATATGAAGCATATTCTTTAATAGAGCTTGCTTTCTGCATTAGCCCATTCATACTCCATAGAAAGTTGCCGTCCACGAAAATTATTTCAGAGTCAGCCAGGCTCAGTCACGCCCCTTGCCGTATATCATTCTTTGACGTAATTCATTCTCACCCAAAGAGGTCTATATACAGTGTTGTAAACTAATCATTACACTAGAACTGCAAAGTATTATGGAGGCAGATCTTATAGTGAAGTGAGTCTGCTGGTCCGCTGGTGTCTTTGTTGTCAGAAAGGAAAGCTGAAGTGAGGTAATGTGAGATTGCCACGTGTTGTCATGTGTTCAATAAGTAGGAGTGTTCTTAAAATGGCGGATGATGTCCCCATATCTTTCTTTCCCACTGGTGGCCTCTACTTAAAGACACTAGCCATTCTAATGATAGAAGTTCGTCTACCAGAGATAAGAAACCCAGGACTTACTGTCTCTAACTGGGAGATAATGGAGAAAATAAAAGAGAAGTCAAAACCAGTGGACTATCAGAATTTACGTGTTTCGTCATCAGCAAGAGAACTCATTAGGTTTGAAGGTGAATTTGAAACAATCAGAGCTTTACGTAAAGTTACGCTACTTCTTAATGGGAAGAGTATTAAGATTCGTGGATTCCATGATGC